TGCATGATACCAGGACAACTAGATGTTAAGAATAAGAGTGATCCAATCATACCTCTATACATGGTTTGATTAATCACCTTATCTTTTTCATCATTATCCAAATAGCAGTTTGTAGCCATTGGAGTTTTGCATTCCTTATAATTTTCCATTAAGTATTTCTTCAACAATTTAGCATAATACTTGGATTGATGTATGAAAATTCCATTATTTGATTATTTTACTTGTAAACCAAGAAAAAAGGTAAGCTCTCCCATCATGGACATTTCAAACTCCTGTTGCATGTCAATTGAAAATTCTTTGCACAGGACAGAGTTAGTAGACCCAAATATAATGTCATCCACATATATTTATACAAATAATAAATTCTTACCAGCTTTCTTAATGAATAAAGTTGAGTCAACCTTACCTTTGTTGAAGTTGCTTTTAATGAGAAATTGACTTTACCTTTCATAACAAGATCTGGGAACTTGTTTCAATCTAGAGAGTGCTTTCTTCAATTTGAATATATGATTTGGAAATTCAAAGTTTGTCAATCCAGGAGGTTGTTTAACATATACTTCTTCTTTGATAAATCTATTTAGGAAGACACTTTTAACATCCATTTGATATAGTTTGAAGTTTAATGTTGATGCTATAGCTAGCAGAATTCTGATTGCTTCCAATCTAGCTACTGGTGTGAAAGTTTCATCATAATCAATCCCTTCTTCTTGACTATAACCTTTAGCCTCCAACCTAGCTTTGTTCCTTACAACATATCCAGTATCATCTAGCTTGTTCCTGACCACCCATTTAGTTCTTACAACTTGTTGAGATGAACTTCTTAGAATCAGTTCCCAAACATCATTCCTTTTGAACTGATTTAATTCATCATGCATTGCAAGAAACCAATGTTCATCTTTAAGTGTTTCTTCTACATATTTTGGTTACAAAGGCTACGTTCATGCAAAACTGAGTAGATTGTCTTCTAGTTTTCACTCTAGTTGATATATCTCCAATTACATTTTCTAAAGACAATCCTCTTGGAGAATTCCATTCTCTTGGTAGTTCCTCTGTTAGTTGATGCTTAACTTCTTCTTGAATAGCATATGATTCTTATTTATTGTTATCTCCATATGTAACATATCCTTTTGCTTTTAGAGTGATATGTTTGAATTTCTTTAAATCTCCTATCATATGTTTGGAGCATCCACTGTCTAAATACCACATTGAATTTTTGGTGCCCAAATTTTCCTGCAAAATAGTTTTGAAGGTTTATTTAGGTACCCAATCAAATTTGGGTCCTTTGATATTAGTTACATGTAGTACATCTTTAGGTAGCCACTTGTATTTTCCTCTTGGAACACCATAATTTTTAAAATAACAGGTTTTAGATGTATGACCAATCTCAAAATAATAGAAGCATGTTACAGATGGTGATTTGCTTAAATTCAAAAAAATTTCTGGACCTATTTAATTGATTATATCCAATCCCTTCTCTATTTAAAAAGCATCTTTGAGAGTTCAATATAACATCTAAGTTTGATTTTTCCAGTGTAAATTTTGAAAGTGTTTTGGTAATATACTTGATTCTTTCCAAATGATTCTTACAAATATCACATTATTCACAAAGTTCTTATTATTATTTTCTAAGTTTCTAATTCTGTTTTAAGATTTTCATTTTCATTCTCAAGTTGTTTTAACCTATTTTCTAGCCATTTATTTTTACCTTTAAACCTATTATTAGAATATGTTAATCTTTTAGCTTCATCATGCATTTCATTAAAAGCATCTAGCAATTGATAATAGTTATTTTTATTATTAGATGCAACGATATTTATACTGAATTTGCTTGAAGTCTTTGTATTCGCCATTAAGCAAAGATTTGTTTCTTCATTTGAGTTTCTGCTTGACTCACTGGAAGTGCTTGAGGCATTGTCTTCCCAAGCAATGTATGTCTTCTTCTTTATTTGAATTATTGGTTTCCTTTCTTTCTTCTAGTTTCTGCTTCATCTTGAAGATTGTACAATCTGGCTTGATATGTCCAGGTTTTTCGCATTCATAGCATGTAGGGACATTTCCTTGTTCCTGTTTCTTGAAAGGTTTGACAGTAAATTTGGTAGTAGATTTATTTTTGTATTTCAAAAGTTTAGAAAACCATTTTACCAGTAGATTCAAGTTTTCGTTGTCAGAATCCTCTTCTTCATTTCCATGCATGAGATCATTCTTTTTTGCAGTAGTTTTCAGTGCAACAATATTTTTTTCTTTCAGTTTCTTCTTCTTCTTCTTTGAATCTTCCTAGTTCCAACTCATGTTCCCTTAATTTTCTAAACAATGTAGCCATATTTATCGTTGTGAGATCTTTTGATTCTGAAATATCAGTTACCTTAGGTTGCTAACTTCTTCCTAAACTCTTTAGAATCTTGATATTCAGTTCTTCTTTGTCAAAGATCTTCCCAAGAGTCATCAAATGATTTACAATATGAGTAAATCTTTTCTGAACATTATAGATGTTTTCTTCAGTCTTCATTCTGACCATTTCATATTCTTGAATGAGAGTATTCTTTTTTTCTCTCTTTACCTCTTTAGTTTCTTCATGGGTGACTTCAAGAACACTCCACATTTCTTTGGTTGTTTCACACACAGAGATTCTATAGAATTCATCAAGTGTCAGTGCAAAAGAAATAATATTCCTAACTCTAACATCATAGTGAGCTCTTTTATGCTCATCAGGAGTCCATTCATTAAAATCTTTGATAATTGTTATATCATCTTTAACCTTGGTTGATCGAAAAGGACCATTAACAACATCCCAAACACCTTTATCAACATATTCAAGAAAAATCTTCATTTTTATTTTCCAAAATGGATAATTTTCAATAGAAAACAAAGGAAGTCTGTTTATAGATGCCCTTCAACAAAAGTTTGAGAAATGTTAGTCATTCTTTTTAGATCAAAATCAATTAACTTTTGATAACCCAACTTTAAGGCCAATTGTTAATAAAATGTTAATGATAGAACTTTCCCAAGAGGGAGGGGGGTGAATAGGGTTTTCAAAAATATTTTTAATTTCTAATTAATTATTAGAGAACTTTTTCTGATAATCAATTACGAAAGAAATATCACAGTTTTCAGAAAATAAGAATACCAAGATAGGGAAAAGAAGAAATTACTCACAAATTTATATGGTTAAATTCTTTCTTGAATCTACATCCAGTTTTAACCAAACAACCTTAGCTTGGAGTTTTTCACATTAAAACAGATTACAACATAATCAAATGATCTTGATTTACAACAACCTCTAATCAAGATTACAATACTTGAAAATGTTCTACCTCACAATTTTCAAGTTATACTGATGTAGCTAGCCTCACATACATCAAAACTTAAAAACAAGATATGAAACGAATTCACGTTGGATTTACATAATTATGCACCCTATAGCCAAACAACCTTTTTTTGAAATTGATCTTTAAAGTCTTTTGCAGAATTATGCTCTTTCCTTGATGCCCAAAACGTTCTTTCTAATTGTTTTAATTTGTATTTGAAAGTTGATATTGATAGAAGAAAGTTTGTATCCTTTTATAGAAAGAAAACTGTTGTAACTGTCATAGATAATCGATTAGTAGATTTATCTAATCAATTATTTGAGTGCAGTGATAGTTTGAAAATAGTTAGATAATCGATTAGGTCTTACATAATCGATTATTAACGCGTTGTATTAAAATAAAAATTTTGGCAAATAATTGATTAAACATCCACATAATCAATTATTAGCGCATCTTATGAAAACTTAATTTTAAGTTATATAATCGATTAACTTTTTATCTAATCGATTATTAGCACATTATGTTAAAACAAAATTTTTGACAAATAATTGATTAAGTAACCACATAATCAATTATTAGTGCATCTTATAAAAATTTAATTTTAAGTCATATAATCGATTAACCTTTTATCTAATCGATTATTAATACTTCAATTTTAACATAATTGATTATTTTTACTTTTAAGATTTAAATTATTTTGGCTTTATACAAACTAACTATACTAACTACCTATCTCATCAAAAAGATATTTTTCAAATTATCTTTCCTCTTCATCAACATTATATTATATTTTTTTTATTATAATAATTATTGATCTTTTATTTTCTAATATATTTTATATTTATAATTTTTATTATAATTTATAATAATCTTTATTATTTATTTTCTTTTTATATTATTACTATAATAAATTTATTATATTATAAAACTATTATTTTATTAGATTTGATTCGAACATAAAATCTTTAAACCCTAAACGTCATTAGTAGTTTGCAGTTTTAAGAACATTGATTATTATCATTTGTATTTAAAAGAATTAAAAATATATAAATTATAATCTTTTTATCAGTGTTACTAAATTATAAGTCACAAGTTTCGAAAACTTTAAAATAAAAATTTTCACGATAAGTATTGTAATGATTTTTATTTTACAAAATTACAATTTCATTGAATTACATTGGTTTTCTATTTTTTAAATTTTTAAATAAGGATGATAAATTCTTTCTAAGATAATGTTCTGATCGTTAATCTTCTAACACTTAGCAGATGTTAGCTCGATATATAAGGCTAAATTAGTTAATAATTTATTTTATAATGTGACACTCATTTTATAATTATGTTTGTATGGAAAGAACATTGGATTTTATGCGGGTGTTTATATTTTATAGAAAAAGAACATCAAAATTCACATATAAACTTAAATTATGTTTCATACAAAATTTCAATGATGATAAATAGTAAAAACCAACTTTAAAAACTGAATTAAAAAAAGAAATTGTACATTATGTGTGATATTCTGAATCACCATATGAAACAAAAATTCTACACTTTTTATTACATGATGAAACCTACACACTTCTTACAAAAAACACTATCAACCACGAAGCAAGTATATCCCAAAAACTAATTTACTATTAAAGAAACCCACTTTTAATATAAGGATAGCATAAAACCAAGTTTAATCCATCTAAAAAGCTAGAAATCTGATTGAAATCCATCCAGTGGTGGTTGAAAGCCATGTAAAGCTCCTCCTGCTTGCTGTTCATTCTGATACTCAGCATAGAAACTTCGAAAGAAAGATTCATGGGGTTCACTAGTAGAACACATAGGATCATCTCTAAATAGACAAGACCAATCAAAATTAGTAAGTTGAGTAAAATCTTCAAGCAGAGGTTGGTTTTGAGAGATGGTGTTTGAAAGTGAAGTGGTAGCAGAAGCATTTTTCTGACTGATATTTGGCACAAAACTAAAGCAAGCATCATCATCACCACCACTTTGTTGCATATTTCTCAACATATCATTGATTTCTTGATTGCAAACTCCATCACCTCCATTATTTGAATTTGTAAAGTCCACCTTCCCATTCTGAAGTGCCTGGATTGCAGTTGGGATGATTTGGCCTTCTGAGAGGTTTTGCATCATGAAATTGGGTAGGTTAGGATGGGAGGAGGTAGTACTTGCCTGTATCATATCTTGCAAGAAACTACAATTGGCTTCACCATGATGAGGCTTGCTTTTCAACAGATTAATTCTCTGGTCACAAGCTTTAATTTTGGCATCCACATGAGTACAGAAATCCGTCAATTGCTCCTCTTCCATGTTTCTGATACTTGGATCCCATGTTGGGTACTTGATGCTGTTGATTTGTTTATTTACTCTGGAAATCTCAGCTTCAATCATGTTCTTCCTATTCTCAATAAAGTCTTCAATACCATAGGTGTTACGAGGTCTCTCTTTCTTTGATCGAAACACATAATAGTTATGAATGACGGCATATACCTCTTCGGGATTCTGAGGCCAAGTCACTGGTCCAGCATCACCATTGCCATCATCATACACAATTAAGCAGTGTCCACCTCCACACTTGGAGGAAAATTCAGACATTTTCTTCATCAACCCTCTCTTTCTTTGCAAGAAAGTCGTCCTACGAGATCTTTCATTTGCAATACGTTTGAAGGTTATTCTTGCACGACCCATTTTCTACTAAACTACACAATATTTCAACGAAATTGAACTTAATTAGTCTATGAAATATAGTAAAGCACAAGCAATAAAACAACCCAAGAATTCAACAATAATAGTTGTTCCGTGAGTGAATAAGAAAGCATACCTGGCGGAAGGAAGAAGGAAGTAGAAACTGAGAGGAGAAAGTGAGAAGGAAAAGCTTAAGGGAGAAGTGAGTGAGAAAATTAGGGTTAACGTTGGCAACAATTTGGTTCTTTTTATTTCCAAAAAAACATTGCAATTTTTTCTTCAAGAAAGCAAATTTCTCTGACATATTTAACTGATAACAATAAATGTAGGACTTGGTAGCTTATGAACTTTCTACAAATTATATTTAATTAGACCGTATAAATTTCAATGCAAACATATCGTCATAATTCATCAATTAATGTAAATTATTTGATTTTTAATGAATTAAAATCATTTTTCAATGTTGGAGGTTAATTATATAAATTTGCTTAATGTATTCAAATTCAGACTAAAATACTTTCAAGGTATCACTTATCTTACAGTGCAAGTAAACTTTATATATGATTATATTTTTCTGATTAGAAATTATGAGTTAAATTTTAAAAATAAAAAAAGTTGAATAATTTATACGAGAAAAATATGGTACAACCTCATGTTTGAAAATATTTAATTAATTATGATATATTTTCTTTTTTATAATTAGAACATTTTTAAAAAGAATTATTATTAATCGTTACTTAAAAATAAAATAAATATTTTATTATGAATTTTACGTCTAAATTGTTTAAAAGTGGAGAAATATTTTTAAAATTGAAAAAAATTTATTTATATAAATCACTCTTATAAAATTTTAAACAACTTAATTTTAAAATTTATAATAAAATATTTAATTTTATTCATAAATGTATTGCATTAATTACTTTTTTTTCTTTTAAGATATATATCATATCAAATATAATAAAATTTCCTTCTTATTTCTATGCATTATTTTTTCATCTGAAATTATATTTTTCCTATTATATCTAATGTTAGATATATTATTAACTTTCAAATAAATTAATATATTATATAATAGATATATTTTATTTCATGATTATAAAAAAAATTGAATAGTTCATTATGATTTCAATATTGCGTTGATATATTTTGATGATTTTTGAAATAATGTTTGTAATATAATGAAATTAAATTATAATTGTATACAGAAATTTAATTTAGAATGAAAATTAAAATTGATTTACTATTCAAAACTTTTGATATATAAAGCACAAGATAATTATTTGAGAATACTAAAAATATTTTATTTCTTTTAATATTATTAGTAAAAATTAAATAAGCAATCTTTAAACGCAATTTGAGGAAGTTAATATTAAATTACCGTAATAAGAAATAATCATATTTTATTATTAAACACAAATATATATTTTTTCTTAATAAATTTCAAAATTAAATTAAGATGTATTTTAACATTGTATCACTATAAACGTTTTTAATTAAAAAATCAAATTAAAATGCAAAGTCTAGTGTATCATTCAAATAATGAATGGAAATATTTTTAAACTCGTTATATATATTACAAAAATTGTTTCAAAATTCTTCCAAGTATGTAATTAAAAAAAATCATAACGAACTAAACAATTGCGTGATAAAATTAGAATTTATTTGAAAATTGATATTCTTTCTAAATATTAATTTGATATATATATTTTGACTATCTACACCGAAAAGGCAAAGAAATAGAATTGAGTGATGCCATCAGATGTAGAAAAAAAAAAAAACTGACATCCAAATTTTCTCAAATATAATAAATAAATAATAAAAATAATTATTGAAAGAATGTTTGAAAAATAATGATTATCTAAATATCATTAGATACAATGAACAAATATTTTCTAAAATTTTTCCAAATTAATCTTTTTCATAAACTTGTTTTGGAATCAAATTTCTAGAAATTTTCTAAATTAATCTTTCTCATTAACTTTTTTTAAGAAGCGTTATGAAATATTTTCAAAATGTAAAAAAATTAAAATAATTTTTTCTAAATTTATTTATAATAGGACAATATTATCATTTTAAATAAATATGAAATAAAAAAAGTTTCCAAGATACAAAAAGAAGCATCATGTTATATATATATATATATATATATATATATATATATATATATATATATATATATATATATATATATATATATATATAACAGAAAACATAATAAAGATTTAGATAACAGAGAGAACGAGATAAACAAAAATAGAAAATTTATTATATTTGATATATAATATTAATTAATGTAATAGATTGAAAAAAAATCTAATCATACATAAAAACCACTTGCTTTGTTACATCAATGATAAATATCTTTTTGGGAGCTGAGGGGTCGTGATCCCCCAAAGTTTTGTAACTCCCAAGTAATTTATGATTTTGTCCCCCAAACTTAATGAACATTTAATATATTTACTTGTATATTTACAATTTTATCCTCTCAGATCCCTCTTCAATTTTGTAACTCTGGTATAATTTATAATTTTGTCTCCCTCTAATTTAATGATCATTTAATATATTTAAGTATATATTTACAATTTTATCATTTTACCCTTTTATCTTATTTTTTCTTTTTATATTTATTTATTATTTATTAATAATATATTATTTAGCCCCACAATATCAATCGACCCACTGTTAACAAGCATTCTAATTAAAATTTCATACAATCAGCCAATTTATATAACGTCCAACATTAATTATATTACTTTTTATTCATTAAGAGTGTTGCAAGATAAGATGTCCCCACATACAAACACAATGTTGCAAAATCTTGGTAACAGTCCCAGTCAAAATTTATTGTTATTCAGACTTTTTTTTTCATTTTATAAAAAGTTAAATGGTGGATTTAGGTTTTAAAAGGTATTAAAGTTTTTAATTTGGTTCTAAAATTTAAATAAATCAAAATAAAGTTCTTAATTCACTACAAGAATTTTACATATTAGCTATGACACATTCAGTAGTTATTTTATAGTTAATTTATCGTTGGTATGTTTTGCTACAGCATTAACTACGAAATAGCTATGGAATAGTCCGTAGCTAAATCCAAGTAGCTAATTAGATACAGATGTATTCTCTCTCAAATTTATAGCAAATTTTGTCGCTAAACTGTCGATAAATCCCTCGCTAATTTAAATGATGAAATTTTGTTTATCCCTAGCTAATTTGATCTCCCAAAACTTCTAGCTAATCTCTCGCAATTTCGCTCTCGCTAATCCGTAATTAATCCCTCGCAATTTCGCTCTCACTAATTCGTAGCTAATCCCTCGCAATTTCACTCTCGCTAATTCATAGCTAATCTCTCGCAATTGTTCTCTCGCTAATCCGTAGCTAATCCCTCGCAATTTTACTCTAGCTAATTCGTAACTAATTCCTCGCAATTTTTCTCTCGCTAATCCGTAGCTAATCTCTCACAATTTTTCTCTCGCTAATCTATAGCTAATCCCCGACAATTTATCTCTAGCTAGCAATTAGTTCCTCGCTAATTCGTAGCTAATCCTTTGCAATGTTTCTCTCACTATTTCATAGTTAATCCCTCACAATTTTTATCAAAATTTATAATATCAAATATTTAAGATTTAAATTATTATTCATATTCTTAAAAAAGAAGACAAACTTATCAATTTTTAATATAAAAGTATTGTTTAAACATAGTTAAAATGATGTTTCAAACAATTAAAACATAACAAAAATAATATTTCAACTAAAAAGTTATAGGCTCTAGGCTCAGCTGGTTCAGCCGCTACAATACCCTTAAAGACATATCCTTCTTTAATCTTCATTTCAACCATTGATTGTTCAAGTGCATAAGAAGCAACATTACTTCTTATGTGTGATCTGTTGGCAAAATTTGGGTCATGTATATATATGATACATATTTAAATGTGTTAGGGTCATTATTTATTAAGCCAAATAATAAAGTGATCTGAATAAATTAAAGTTTTGGCTAAAGGCATATGTCATGAAAATAATATTGTGTAGAGACCATAAAGTAATTTCTAATTTGATGAGGGGCCGAATTGGAAATACTAAAACTCAAGTAATTAACCTAATTTTGGTTATATAAAGGGTCATGGTCCCCTTCTGAGAGCACGTAGACAGAACGTAGTTAAAGTCCCGTTCCTTTCTTTCTATCCCCATCAAGAGAGAAAATCAAGAGGGAAATTAAGGTGCTCTTCAGGTGGAAGACCATAAGATCAAATCAAAAGTGCTCTACAAAGAATATCATCATTATGGATAATTCAGGTACGCTTTCGCATTTAGTTCATAACATGTTTACAGTATGGGATTATATATGTTTGTGTTTGATCGTTAGAATCAAAATCAGGATTATTATTATTAATTTTCCAACAATTGGTATCAGAGCCACCCATACTTGATTCATGTTTGCATTTGAAAATGAGATTCTGACTAATTAAGAACCTAGTTGGAGAATAATCTTCAAATTTTATGAACCCTAGATTCAAATTTGGGGTAAAATCCCAAATTTTAAAACCTAATTTCGAATTTGAGGGTAAAACCCCCAAACTCCTCCTGGACCATCCTCTTCCACCTCGCCGCCCTCGTCGAACCCTGGCTTCCCGATCCCTCCAAATTTTTCTCTGTCAACGTTGGAGGATTGAAAAACGTGTTGACGACGGTGAAGAAAACTCCTGTATACGTTGTTTTTTTCCGCTCTCGGACCAACTGTCAGAGGCATTGGCAACAAGAATCAAGTCCATCACGAGAAGTATTTCTGTACGGAATATGAGAAATCAAAGGTAGCTGCGGATAAGATTGCGTTGCAAGCTGCGTCGGAGGGGGTGCCAATAGTGTTACTGTATCCTAGAGTAATCTATGGGCCTGGCAAGGTCACTGCAGGAAACGTTGTTGCGCGAATGGTATACAACATTTGGATTCAATTATAGTATATGACAATTTATATATGATTGAATTACCACCAGTTGGGTTTGTTCAATCATTTGCAGCATTCTTAAAAACATATAAAAAAGTAAACTTTATAACCTAGAGTTAATGTTGTGGGACCCGTTGCATTCTTAAATACATAAAAAAAAAGGAAGGTGATCAAACTTTATAATCTGGAGTTAATGCCGTGGGACCCGCTGCCTTAAACAACAACATTACAGGAATTGCAAGGAGTTCTTTGCCAATCTAGAGGAATATATATATTTGATTTTATTGCATAAATAAAATATTAATTTGTTTGGTAGTTTAATATTTTTTTTGAGCAAATTGAGTCAAGAAGTTACCAAAGTAACATCTCTTGAATTGGGTAGTTCGTAAAAAATATTAAATGTTAGTGTTTGTGTATATTCATGCGAGTATTAGTCGGCCCAAAGGAAGATTAATATTTGGCCGAATTGCATATACACTTGTAATGATAAACATGTGATAATTATAAAGATTTGCTTTGTCGATGATAAATCAATCCAAAGACTGGTTTGTTGTTGGACGTGCTTTATTGTCAATGTTTGATTATTACAACAAGATACCTCTAGCAGTTAATATTACTGTCCAAAGACTTGATATTGATGGTGCATTGGGTGTCTTGAGATGGGTTAAACCATTATTTGAATATATATTTTATTTATAATTATTTATTTTTTATAATGTGAGCATAATTAATTTATTTCTCTTGTTTTTAATTTAGCTACAATTGATTCTTTATCTGCCAATTGAAATTATGTTCAGATCCTCAAAAGTACATTTCCTACTTTGGTGCTGTTCGAAGTCAATTTAGCGTCAGTACCTAGTAACACATGGTGGTTAGACTCGAGTGCAACTACTAACATCGGTGTTTCTATAAAGGGTTGCCTAAGCTATCGGAAGCCAATTGATTCTGAAAGATGGATATATGTTGGAGATGGCAAATCGGTAGAGGTGGAAGCCATAGGGCATTTTAAATTGTTATTGAGTACTGGTTTTTATTTGGATTTGAAAGACACTTTTGTTGTGCCGTCATTTAGACGGAATTTGGTTTCAGTTTCTTATCTGGACAAATTAGGTTATTTGTATTCATTTGGAAACAATAAGTTCAGTTTGTCTTTTAATTCGAGATATTATTGGAACTGGTTCACTTTTGCCTTATGATAATCTGTATTTACTTGATACTTGTGACCACCTATAATGAAACCCTTAATACAGAATCACGGGGTACTAAACGTAAAATTGATGATACTCACTCAGGAGCATTATGGCACATGCGCTTAGGTCACATCTCTAAAAATAGAATTGAACGACTTGTGTCAACTGGAATCTTAGAGTCCATTGACTTCACAAACTTTGATGTTTGTGTTGAATGCATTAAGGGCAAACAGACCAAAGCGAAAAGATTAGGTGCATATAGAGCTACAAACGTCTTAGAGTTGATACATACGGACATTTGTGGGCCATTTCCTACACCTTCGTGGAATGGTCAACAATACTTTATATCATTCATAGACGATTACTCACGATATGCATACTTATTCCTTATACATGAAAAGTCACAATCTCTAGACGTGTTCAAAACATTTAAAGCTGAAGTTGAAAATCAACTCAATAAAAGAATTAAGTCTGTCAGATCTGATCGTGGTGGTGAGTACTATGGCAGATTTGACGGGTCAGGTGAACAACGTCCAGGACCTTTTGCCAGGTACCTAGAGGAGTGTGGAATTATCCCACAGTATACCATGCCGGGATCACCTAGCATGAATGGTGTAGGCTGAAAGACGAAATCGAACTCTTAAAGATATGGTCGGGAGTATGATTTGTCATTCCACCTTACCGGAGTCACTCCGGGAGAGGCACTAAAGACGGCAACTTATATTCGAGCGAGTACCAACTAAAGCGACGACCAAAACACCTTATGAGCTTTGGACTAGGCGACAACCTAGTCTGAAGCATTTCCATGTGTGGGGATGTCCAGTTGAGGCAAGGCCTTATAAGCCAAATGAAAAGAAATTGGACTCCCGAACAGTAAGTAGTTATTTTATTGGTTATGCTGAAAGATCTAGGGGATATAAATTTTATGATCCCACCTTAAAGACAATTTTTGAGACGGGAACTGCTACGTTCTTTGAGGATATTGAGTTTGGGGGGAAGAATAAAATCAGGAACTTTGTTTTGGAGGAAGAATCGGTAACAATTCCAGAACTGATTCAAACAGTTACTTTTGATAAAGTAAGTTCGGAACCTCCACAAGGCATTGTTAATGAACCCCTTACTCAAGATGATTTGGTTGTTCATGAAGAACAAACTCAAGATCCTCAAGAACCTGTGTATCATGAGCCAATAACTTTGTGGAGATCCACTAGAGAAAGAAGAAGTGCTATTTCGGATGATTACATGGTATTTCTTCAGGAACATGAGGAAAACAATGGTATGATGGAAGATGACCCAGTTAACTTCCGTCAAGCCATGCAAGGTTCTAACTCTGAAAAGTGGATTGAAGCAATGAAGGAGGAGTATAAGTCCATGCAAGACAACAAGGTTTGGGAACTTGTCCCATTACCAGAAGGTATGAGACCCATTGGTTGCAAGTGGATATTTAAGACCAAACGGGATTCTAAAGGTAATGTGGAAAGGTATAAGGCTCGTCTGGTAGCTAAGGGCTATACCCAAAAGGAAGGGATTGATTTTAAAGAGACTTTCTCTCCAGTTTCATCGAAAGACTCTTTTAGGACAATCATGGCTCTTGTAGCACATTATGATTTGGAGCTTCATCAAATGGATGTCAAGACGGCGTTTCTTAATGGCAACATTGATGAGACGATTTATATGGTGCAACCAGAAAATTTTGTGCAGGGAGATTCAAAGAGTATGGTTTGCAAACTGACAAAATCCATTTATGGACTAAAACAAGCATCTTGTCAATGGTACTATAAATTTCATCAAGTAATTCTCTCATTTGGCTTCGAGATGAATATTGTTGATGATTGTGTATATCACAAGTTTAAGGGGAGTAAGTATATTTTCCTGATCTTGTATGTTGATGACATTCTACTTGCCACTAATGATACAGGCATATTGCACGAAACCAAGAAATTTTTATCAAAAAATTTCGAAATGAAAGATCTTGGTGATGCATCTTTTGTATTAGGAATTCAGATACACCGAGATCGATGTCAGGGTATTTTGAGATTATCACAAAGGAGCTATATCGAAACAATTCTTAAAAGGTTTGGCATGCATGAATGTAAATCCGGGGATACTCCAGTGGCTAAGGGAGACAAGTTTAGTCTCAATCAGTGCCCAAAGGGAAATTTGGAAATTGAGGAAATGGAAAAGATTCCCTATGCATCAGCTGTAGGGAGTTTAATGTATGCCCAAGTATGTACGCGTCCAGACATAGCATACATAGTTGGGGTTCTAGGCGAGATATTTAAGCAATCCGAGGAATGGACCATTGGAAAGCGAGCAAAAAGGGTCATGAGATATTTAAAGAGAACAAAAGATTACATGCTCACATACATGAGGTCGGACCAGTTGGAGATCGCTGGATTTTCGACTCGGACTTTGCAGGATGTCAAGATAGTTTGAAATCCACTTCAGGTTACATTTTCATGTTAGCGGGTGGTGCGGTTTCTTGGCGCGAGTGTCAAGCAAACCCTTACGGCTTCATCCACTATGGCGGCAGAATTTGTAACATGCTATGAGGCGTCGAATCATGGAATATGGCTGAGAAATTTTGTCACGGGGCTGCAAATTGTGAAAGGCATTGAAAGACCACTTAAGTTATATTGTGACAACAAATCGAGTTGTATTGTATTCCAATAACAACAGAAGTTCGACTAAGTCAAAGCACATCGACATTAAGTTTCTAGTTGTTAAGGAAAGAGTACAAAGTGGACAGATTTCCATAGAACATTTAGGGACAAACTCCATGATAGCAGATCCTCTAACTAAAGGACTTCCGCCCAAGGTCTTTCATGAGCATGTTGCTCACATGAGTGTTTTACAGTTTGAGGAATTTGTGGTTTAGTGGGAGTTAGTCATTTTCATATATTTTATGTTCTATGTTTAATTTTATATATGTATACATTGATTTTTTGGACATATTTGGTTATCTATAGATATGCGGGTTTTTTTTTTTGTTCATTCATTACACTTTGTACATTAAGGTTATTATATCGATCTCGATAAGTTAAAGTTTGGACCGAGTTGAAAATAGACGTGTACGAGATCACCTTCACGTAATTTTTCATGCTACACATTTCATGATGAATCCATGTCATTTGGTTATGTCGGGATGAGTAATCTTGTTGGTTTTAGTTGCGATGATGCAATGAAAAGCTGGTTTGGTTCTATATCCGATATGATTAATGGACGAGGACTTTTGGAATATGCTAAAGGAATATAATGACAATTTTGAGCTCATAAAGTCTAACACATTTGTAAGGTTGTAAAAACATATATATTTGTGACCAGTGGGAGATTGTTGGCAAAATTTGGGTCATGTATATATATGATACATATTTAAATGTGTTAGGGTCATTATTTATTAAGCCAAATAATAAAGTGATCTGAATAAATTAAAGTTTTGGCTAAAGGCATATGTCATGAAAATAATATTGTGTAGAGACCATAAAGTAATTTCTAATTTGATGAGGGGCCGAATTGGAAATACTAAAACTCAAGTAATTAACCTAATTTTGGTTATATAAAGGGTCATGGTCCCCTTCTGAGAGCACGTAGACAGAACGTAGTTAAAGTCCCGTTCCTTTCTTTCTATCCCCATCAAGAGAGAAAATCAAGAGGGAAATTAAGGTGCTCTTCAGGTGGAAGACCATAAGATCAAATCAAAAGTGCTCTACAAAGAATATCATCATTATGGATAATTCAGGTACGCTTTCGCATTTAGTTCATAACATGTTTACAGTATGGGATTATATATGTATGTTTGATCATAAGGAAGAAGATCATATTCAATTACAGTTTAACCTTACATGATCTTGTCTAGCTGTTAGAGCTATTAGATCCAAAACTTTTGGGAATGCTATCGTCTCTATGCATCATTATGCTGCTTTTTCTTCTAGCAGCAAGTGCATGCAATTTGAAAGAATCATCACTTATTCTTCTGTTTACAAAACGTGCAGTGTGGCCTCTCTTCATTTCGAACTGAGTAGAAAGATCTGTGGTGCTTAAATTGATAAGCTCTGACAGATTTTTTCCACAGTCCTCCATCTTATCTGCATATTGCATCAAGCTACGATCATGCACGTAGGACCTGATTCCAATTGCGTCCTACAATATTAAAAGTAAAATGCACAACACTTAAGAAGCATATAGTTTAAGTAAGGATTAGATATGTTTCTAATACCAGTATTTATGACTAAATTTGCTTTTAATCTTTCAAAAGTTATAGTGAATTTTGTTTATCATAGATTTGAGCTTTTTATAAATAATTTGTCATCAAAGTTGAGGAGTTGAAGGCGGGTCCAGTAAACTTTGGTCCTAGAATTCGGAATAGTCTATTTACATGTGAAAGGATAAGTGACCCTTCATCAATCTTTTTATGTATACTGTTTCTAGTTTATCATCACTTAATAATTACGTGTAAACATCTCAACAATTGCTCTGAAAAATATGTGAGTAATATTACAAACTAAGGTGTAGGTTTAGAATTCAAATCCCAATTATCCAACTTTAAATATAGAATAAATCATGATAGGAGAAAAATTCACTTTACATGTGTTAGGTTTCTATCAGTATTCTCTGATTATGAACAATTCGCACCAATAACACAGTAAAAGAAATTAATAGGACCTACTTAAACAAAATTATCAAAACACTCTTTTGTAAACTAAAGTCAAACTTCAAGACTGTAATCAGGCGAATTTTTCAGCGATCCCGTCTGAACAATTCAATTCTGAACATATAGTAATAATATTAACATCTATTCATCTATGATGGAACAAAGTTGATTTGAAAATACAAATGGTAGTAATTAGATTTAATCTATTCAGCTAGCTAACCTGATCACAAAACTGTAGGTAAAAAAATTAGTATTTTATCAGCAATGAACCGAATCTGACACTGAACTAAGAGAGACCTGTACAGTAAGCAGCTGAATTTAAACCTTCTTAAACCGATTCCGGATGAATTGACGCTGATAATAACGGCAAGCAAGAGCAAAAGGAAAAATGACAAAAAAATATGTATTTGACTGCAAACTTCCGCCAAACCATTCGCTGTAGTAATGGGCAGTTCCTTCAAATAATTTAGTTGAAATTGTTTGACTGATGTTTTGCGACTTGCTTCTGAAAGAAAACAAAGCAGTTGGAGCCTCCAGCCATGAAAATAGAGTCAGTGGATATAGCATATTAATATACAAGAATATTATTGGAGCTCGTGTCTACTTCTTACCGTTAGTTAATGTTTACCTTAATTACGAATAAGCTCATATTAGTAAACAAGTTACCTAGGTAATATCTCAAGGTAGAAAAATTCAAGCCATAATTTATATTTCAGATTCTTACAATTGAAAAAATATTTAATTTATAAGGGTAACGAACCATATTAACATCCAACAGTTAAAAATCAATTGATTTCTATGAATATCTTACACACAAAAATCTTAAATGCTTCAAGTAACTATCAACGACAACTTCACAACCATATTATTCATGGTCAACATAAATTTCCACCCCAATTGTATTTATTTCACAAAAATATAGGCTCATTATCATTTTCACCAAAAAATTCCAAGGTACTAGCTATACAATGTTGAAGATGAAGAATGATATTAAAAGCAATAATAAATTGTAGCTAAAGCCTCAATAAAATCATGCAGTCCATCTATTAAGCAATAAGTATCAACAAAATAGCAGCATGTACCAAAATATTTGACCCCCAACAATAGAGGATTTCAATTCTAATCTATAAGTTGTACAGTAAAAACTAGTAAATATAAAATTTCTAGTTAGAATTATACCTGCATTAGAACAAAGTGTAATGAAGAAGATGCAGATTTCAACTACTTCCATGGCTGTGACAAAGAAACTACAGGAGTTGATGCTTCAAATCCTTTTTTCCCTTATACAGCAGATTTCAGCACATTATATTGTTCAGTCACAGAATCGTACAGGGCTTTGTGAAGACCTCCTTAGCCTACAAAAAAACCCACATCGCACCAATCAAGTTAAAGAAAAAAAATCTTGCACATAATAAAAACTGTTGATACGAAGACTCACCTTTTGTTGTTGTGTCATGTGTAGCAAATCCATTTCCTCTGAACTCATAATCTTCAGAGTTGGTACATCATCCCATCCTTCTTCCAACAACTTTTGAAGCAGCCCCTTTAAAATTCCATTTCCTATGAATTTTTCCACTGAAAAAGAAGCCATTCTTTCCTTTCTACTGGATAAGTGATAATCTTGTCATATGAATGTGATTAAATTTGCAGACAGAGTTGTTTCTCAGACAAAAGTATTAAACACTATGTATATAAGCCGTTCATAGAATATATAATTAAAATGTCTTTGGTTAATGGTGTGACAATGAGTTCAATGTTTTCCTGAGGCTAAATAATCCATTTACCCTGCTGTACTATCAACTTATCTAAAGAAAATTATATTCATATAACAAACATATATATGCAAAAAAATGGAGACAATTGTACAAAAGTAAAAACTAAATTATTACTATAATATATCAGTTAAGGACAGTAGAAGATACCCCAAAATAAAAAAATTGAAGATGGTAAATGAATATTCCCTTTAGCCCCCATGCAAACTAATCCATCACTGCAGCCTTTCCCTTCCTACCTGCACTGCACACACCACACTTCCGGTCTCACACATCATTATTGAACTGTCACACTATGAAAATTCAATGTCACTTTGCCGCCAGCTGCTACATGAGTAAAGGAATATATGCATCTGCCTCTGCTATCATAATTTCCTAATCCAACCAGGTTCCAAGGACACACCATAAATATATAATAACACACAAAAATTAACCATTGTTTTTTACGTCTATAACATTTTCTTTTATTTGGATCAATCTGCATTTGCTGTAACATGGTATACGTAATAGTGCTACTTACTCAACAGAACAGAGTTCACTCTAAAAATAATACACAACAAACTTAAAACTATTAGGCGATAGACAATTAACTATGGATGAAACTTAAACACATATTGAATAAAATCAAACCTCCCAAAACTCAAATCACAGGGTAACATTCAAAATGAAAAAGAGATTACCGTAAGAAAATGTGAGCGGCAGCGTGTGCGGAAGCGGCGCAGGACAGTAGCGGACGCGGTGCAGGACAGCAGTGGACACGGGGCAGGACAGCAGCGGACACGGCGCATGACAGTGCGGGAGCGGGAGCAAGAGCAGCAGGGGAGCGGCGCGAGAGCTAGAGCGGCAGCAGTAGCGGATGGGGGCGGCAGCAGCAGGGGCAGGGAGCGGCAACAGCAGCGGCAGGGAGCGGCAGCAGCGGGAGGGAGCGGCAGGGAACAGCAGCGGCACGGGACAGAGAGAGAGGCAGCGATCCGTTATGTTTGAGAAAATTAAGTACGAAGAAGATGAAAAAAAAAATTTAGATTTTTATTAAAAGAATTATAAAAAAATAAATAAATTAGTATTTTTAAATATAAATTTTTTTATTTCTTATAAAGAATAGTTTCTAAAAAAATTATAAAAAAATATTACTTATAAAATTTTTCTATTAATTTTTCTATTATTAAATATTTCTAACAAATTTAAATTTATAAAAAAACTTACAAAAAATAATTTTAAATATTTATCAATTTTTTTAGATATTTTTTCAAAAAAATTATAATTATTTCTAAATAATTTATTTTAGATAAAAAAATAATTGATATATATATATATATAATTATATATTTATAGTAAATTTGGTAAAAATAATTTTTTTAAGAAAAAATTGTAATTAATTTTTATTGATATTTTTTTTCATAAAGATCAAAAATTATTTTTTATAATTATATATTTTTAGAGAAATTTACAAGTATTTTTTATAAATAATTTTTTATAAGACTAAAATAATTTATAAGAATGGTTCCCAATAATTTAATATTTTTTAAAATTTAATAGTTGCTATAAATTTGCTACAGTTTAACTATAATTGTATGTTACATAATTTAGCTAGGAAATAACTTCAAAAAGTAATATAGCTAATATTTATAGCGAGGGATTAATGACAAAAATTTTTCCTAACTAAATTATTTTTTTGCTAAGTGAGAGAATAACTACAAAAATATTAGTCTTCTAGCTATTTTATTACATATTAGCTACAACCTTATTCTTTCACTGTTCCATAGCAGCTACAAATTAGTGAAAAATAAATTTTGTTATAAATTTTGTAGCTAATTTTCCTAGCTAATTATAAAATTTCTTTGTGGTGATTCTAATTTTTAGGATGCCTTCTTCAAATTCTAATAACAAGATCAATGAACCTAATATAAAAAATATATATACGCAAACATTCTTCTATATTACAAAATATATTTTAAAATCTATCTGTTGTATAAGTTCACACTTTAAAAACTACAAAATATATTGTTTTAAATAGATAAAATATTATATATATAAGAAAATAATAATCTATTTTTAAAAAAATGAGAATAACACACTTAACTTCCATCTTTGTTATTTATTTTTATGTAATTAAATTATTAAAATAATCTAGATAATTATATTGTAGATAAATAAATAAAATAATAAAAAGTAACTCTTTAGAGTAGGGAATAAATGCTTCGTTTGTATCTATGAATTCGTTATCTACAAAGAAAATAAGCCGTAAAAATGTGAGATATATGTATAAATACCAATTGATGGAAATTTTTAGATTTTTAGATTTGATATTTTGTTATATTTTTATATATATATATATATATATATATATATATATATATATATGAATAAAATATATATCCACATTAAGATATATTTTATATATAAAAAATACACATATAATAAAATTATAAATTTTTTTAATCAGTAGTATAAAAAATTTTGGTTCTTATAAAAGAATTGAAAAGATAAAAACGTTGTTTAGAAGTCGTTATTTTTCTTTTCGATAATGAAATTATAATATATAAACTGTGAGAATGTAAGTTTATCTTGAAGGACTAGATTTATAGAAAATTATGGAAGAAGATTATTTTATCAATCTATTACTTGAAAATCTCACTATAACCAAAATTTAAAAGGAAAGCAAAACGAGGGAGGCAAAAATGAATTTATACCTAGTTATGGGTGTTTCACAAATTATCATCACCAGACTCATAACCCTAAAGTCACCGAAAGAAAGTTAAAATTATTTGAAAAAACAATATGAAGGGAATAAGAAGAGATTTATAGGAAATCGTGGAAGAAGATTACGTTACTAATCTACTCAACTTAAAAATTCCATCATAACCCAAATCAAAAGGAAAGAAAAACGAGAGAGACAACAACAAAGTTATACCTATTTATTGGTGTTTCACAAATTATCATCACTACAATCATAACCCTAAAGTCACTGAAAAAATTTTGATATTATTTGAAAGAACAATACGAAAGAAAAAAGAAGATTTGAGATATGAAAGTTATAGACTTGATTAGAGAATTTGATATATAAATATGAAAGTTCTAAACTTGTTAAAAGAATTTGAGATATAAAGAATACATGAGAATGAAACAATTAAGTAATACTCAAACAAATTATTGGATATGACTAACAAGATAAAATTATTAGGTAAGAAATTACCTGATTCTATATTAATTGAAAAAATTATGGGAACTACGCCGCCATAAAGATATGTAACACTTATCGTTCCCTTTATATCGTTCTTATAAATAATCTTAAACTTCTTTGGGTGACTTTAAGTCATGATTATGGTGATAATCATTTATGAAACACTAACAAACAAGCATGACTTCACTTTGTCTTTCTCGTTTTTTTTTTTTTTGGACTATGGTGATATTTCAAGACAATATATCAATAATGTAATATTTTTTTACAACTTCTTATAAATTTAGTCTTTCAAGATAAAGTTACATTCTCACATGTCATAAATTATAACTTTCATCATCGAAAAATGAAATAATAACATGTGAAAAACTTTTTTCACCTTCATTTATTTTTATACTGATAAAATTTTTTAGCATTTTTGTGTAAGTGTATTTTTTATAAATAAAATATCTCACGTGTGTATATATTTTATTCATGTATTATGTATATAAATAGAATAAAAATATAACAAAATATTAATCATAACTGTTTAAATATAAAATAATAATAATATAATACATTTTTCTCTTATTCTAAAAATAAAAAAAATAATAACGCATATACTTCTCACAGAAATTAACGATATATATATTTATAATTTTAATTAATCTAATTTAATTTTTTATATTTTTATTATTTATTAATAACATGAATACTGTCATGGGAATTTCAAATCACAGCAGACGTTGAGCATCACCACTAGATCCAAATTCTCATAACCACTTAAATCAAGCATCATGTTATAGAAGCTCAGCAGAGCATGCACATCATTTTGATGCACACTCAAAAGATCAAGTTTTTTTACACATATTAACTGAGGAATTGGCTGAAGCCAAGTTTGAGATGTAAACAGAGAAAAGAAGAGTTTGCAAACATGTTTTATGGCAAGGAAGTTATAATTTTTGAAGTACTTAAATGATCATATTTTGCTATTATTCCAATCAAGTGAATCATCATGCTTGCACATGGAAACATGGTTAGGTGGCAGTGGAGATCTTAATTGTTGATTGGTTGTTGGCTATATAAAACATAACATGCCTACTTTTGTCCTATGTGTAGAGTTAAAAGTGCACCTTCCTTTTTCACCATATTATGATGCCAGAGAACATCTTTTACTTTTATGACATGTAATATTAATAACAATCTATGATGCTCACAAATTAACCTGCTTCCATGCAATTACCTTAGTCTAGGCAAAATGGTGTCCTATCTTACTCTCTGACAAAAGATTTAGCAGAGTTTTTATACTTTCTGCATTTACATTTATCTTCTTAAGAGTTAAAAGATTGTAGAAAAATGAACAAAAATGTGAATCTTGCATCGAGAGAAAAGGGGCCAAATGAAAAGTAAAAACTATTCTATGTACAGAGGTTGTGTTTGATTTTGTTTTTCCTTGGGCAGAAAAGTTCCATCAAGAAACTCACTGCGAAAGGGCAATGAAAGTTGCTTTGAAATATAATCTCCTTTTTAGACTGATAAATATTTATTTGAATTTAAATAGAATATATGAGATGATGAAAAAATCACTTTTTTTTTAATCTATTCATTCAACTGGTTAGATAATGATTAAAAATGAATTTATTATCTTTATATAATTGAATTTTAATTAAATTATTAAAAAATTAGAAAAACTAATTGAATTTTTGTTTTGTAAAAAAAAAACCAAAATTTATAATCATTTTAAAAATATTTTTAAATTTTTTATCACACATATTATTAGAAATGATTTTTTTTATATTATAAAAACATCATTTTATTAAATTCGACTAAATATAATTAATCTTAATATTTAAATCTTTAATTTATATTTTTATTTATTTAGTCATCCAAATTTTAAAATATTAATAAAACTCACCTCTTATTTTCTTAAATTTTGTAATAATAATTTTATAATATCCTTGTCAATAATCATTACCCACTTTGAATTTAATTTTGTAAACCCTATTAATATTTTGAAGTTAGTTTTTTCAATATAAAAATTATATTTTCAAAAGTTCTTTTTTTTTTTTAATGAATAAGTCATTATATAGACATTGAGGGAAGAAACATAGCTAAACTTTTGACTCTCCATATATATTAAAATAAAAGTCACTTGAAAACTATAATGTAATTAAACATGCAATTAAGGAAGGATAAAAACATTCACCATAATGTACATTTGAATTCTTAGATAGACACTATAAGGTGGTGATAAAGAATTTGTTTTAAGTACCTCATATCAACACTCAACAAGTATAAACAATTTGAGATCTATTTGACATTTCATTCACAACACAAGGCATATCTAAAGCAATTATAATTGATTGATAAGTTAAAAATTTGACATATAGACTAAAAGCTTTATACTTATCTTCATGCTAACAAATAATGCAGGGGTAACAAGCAGCACTTGCATTTCTGTAAAAGGAAACACAGAAAATGAACAGAACAAAGACTTAGCTGGAAGAAGAACCCAATGATTACATGAATCAAGACAACATGAAAACAGATCAAGCAATTTTTGCTTGAGCCAACTTCTTTTCAAGGTATTTGAGTGATGTTGGGTTGATTTGAGTGAAGACATAGTTCCCAGCAAAGAGATCACCAAAATGACCCTGTCCCTCTTTCAACCTTCTCTTCACCTTAGCACACACAAGCATCACTTTTCTTACCATCCACACTCTCCTCCAACTTGGCACCTTCACCTTGAACCTTCTCCTCAAGGGCACCCCTCTAAGCCTGCACCACTTCTTAGGCCTTAGGACCACCCTTAGATCTCTCTCATCATCAGACAAAGCCTCATCATGCCTTAGAATTTGGTAAGGAAGCTTACAATTGATGGCACTCGCAGAAACCATTTGTATTGCAGACATGGTGAGAGTGAAAAGCAATGAATACAAATTGGACTATGGTTGTGAACAGAACAAGGTGGTGTTGAATCTTGAGGTGGTGTTGGTGACTTCATGTTGGTGGTTTATTACAAGGGGAACTATAGTATAGTGGTAGTTGAAGTAGCATTGTATTTATTGTATTTTGGACACTCTTCTCAGCATTTATTAACACATTACGTACACTTTTCTTTATAAACCAATAAGAACAGAAGATTTTTTTTTTCACCCTTTCATTTATGACTCTTTACAGTTTGGAAGAAAGAGAAATAAAAAGAAAAATATAATTTAATCATGGATATTCCACATGATAAAATTATTGATTGTTGAATTAGTTGCTCTTAAAATTTTATCTAAGTTTTATTGGTTCATAGTACAAAAATAATTCTATTGACAATATATAAAAGTTAATCTTATAATAAATAGTATTGGTTAAATTTTACATATCAGGATATTAAGCACAATAATTTTTAAAAGTTTCATTATGATTAAACTTAAAAATATTATTGGTAAATAATGATGATGGATTAATATAAATATAAAAGAATAATGTTAGAAACACATTATTTTCAAAATCGAATTAGGTTGGTGGGTTGAAATGATTTAATTTAAATAAGTATACAAATCAATATAATTAAATCTGATAGAATGAATTCAATATAATTAAATTTGTAAACTTTAAACCACTGTATTCACCGGAGTACAATTTTAAAATCGTTGTGAAAGCATGAACAATAATTAAATACGAACATCTAATTCAGTTTTGTTAAAAGATTAATCTTTTCACTAGACACACAAAATTCTGATTATTATTGAACACAAGTTTCACGTAACACAAGTTCTTTCTGAAAAAAAAAAAAAAACACAAGTTTTCATGCAAAAATCAATGTAAGTAGAAGTAAAATGATATGTGTAAAATATTACCAACGATTTGTGGTATTAATTGCACACTTCACATTCCAACCCTTTTTGACTTGTTACAGTGAAGATAGTACCAAGGTTTTGGGGTATTAATTTTATGCTTCACTCTCTTACCTGCCAATTTAATTCTTGTGGTATATAGTAGATATATACTTTTATAGTATTTATTATTTTTCTGATAATTAATTTAAAGTATATATATATATATATATATATATATATATATATATTAACAAATTTGTTGCATGAACACGGTAGAAATTTCATATCATAAAAAAATGAAAATTTATTTTATAAATCCATGAAATATTCGAGGATTTTTATTTAAAATTATAGCTTAAAAATTTACAATATACTTTTTAAAACTTTAAAATTATTTTTAATCAGATATTTTATCAAAAATTTTCAAAGTGTAAAAATTTGAGTGAAAAATCTTAAATGGAATTAATTGATTGTATAATTCAATTAGAAGCCTGATTCTTTAGTTATTTAAAAAAGTTGAATTAGGTTCCTATATTTGTGGGTATTTAATTAACAAAATATTATTTTATGGATGTTAGAATTTTTTTAAGTCTCTATATTAAATAATATATATAAAGTGTATTGTATATTGTTATATTATATTACTTTTTATATATTTATAAAATATTTAAAAATAATGTAGTCGTGATAAAAAGAACAAGTTTGGATACAACTTTCACTTTCTCATACAGTATTTATATTCCCATATTCTCTTATTAATGTCACCTCCGATTATTATGTTTCCCATCATCATGAATCATCCAACAAAATTTAAGTCAGTGTGAATTCGATTGCTTGAAAGAGATGTAATAATGAATTCATATTTTCGTTTATCGTGCTTCAAAAATTCTAATTCAAATAATTATTTCCCTCAAAATTACAAATCCATCTTAATCCACAATAATGCATGCAGGGCATGGAAAGTTCTCTTGATGAAAGAATTAACACTATAACATTAATTATTATGTAGAGACCTTTAATGTCAAAAATAGTTCTTCTTAAAAAACTTTGAAGATCTCTTTGACTATGAAAAACATACAAAGAATCATAAATCCTAAAAAAATTATTTAAAATATCAAAACATTATTAAAGTAAAATTGAATGAGATCTTATATCTATATTATATAAAATATATACTTGGTCCGTCTAGGAAAAAGAGTTTCTAATATCGAGGTTCGAGGTTTAAGAATGAGAGTTTCAAATCTCGGGTTCGAGGTATTGTCCGTTTTGGAGTTCTAGTCCATCATAGTTTTATTCTTAAAAGGTAATCGGTGGATTGAGAGAGGAAGGTGTATTTAAATTACTATTGGTCTCGACTTCTAAACGATATGAAACTCATTAGCGTGTCAGAACATAAGTCTCCAATCGAGTATTAAGTGGTATGTAATGAGTAGAGTAAGACACTATTCTCGACTCCACGGTGGATGGTGTTGTGCCCAAAGTGCGTGAGTATTCTCCAAAGTCCCACATCGGGTAGTTTGAAGAAAGAAAATGAACACTACTACTATAAATAAGGAATGATAGTTTGAGTCTACTCACCACAACAACACTAATCTTTGGGTATATTGGGGACTTGGGTAGTTATATGTCAAGAGAGAGTTTGCAATTTTTCCGTGTAAAAATTGTATGAGAGGATTTGCAATTTTGTCCTTGTAAAAATTGCAAGTTGAGAAATGAGGAGTTGTTGAGTGTGTTAGTGGATGTAGGCAAGAAGTGTCGAACCACGTTAATTCTGAGTTTGTTTTTCTATCTTTGTTTCTCTCGTATGTGTGCTTCCGCAGGTGAAGATTTCTTTTCCCCTCTGGTACCCAATAGTGGTATTAGAGTTGTCGGTGTGGTGCGGCTCTGTGGGATTCTTAATTCCTAGTATGCTTTGTGGTTACAACATTATCTAATCTTCCACATCAGAAAAGAATTGAGGTTTTGTCCAAGAAAGAAGAGAAGTAGTGTGCCTTAGAAGAAGAAAAGCCAAGTGTGGTGATAAGGACGTTGAAGGAGAGTCAACAAATGATGGGTGGTGATAAATCCTCTAAAGACAGTCAGATACTGCTAGCTAAAAGTGAGTGAGGAAAGAAGTACAGTGATCAACACGGTAGAAGATTCTAGCCGAGAGATGTCAGTACTGTTTAGTGTCATTACTATGAAGAGTTTGGTCACGTTCAAGTCAAATGTCCAAAATTCAAGGAGGACTTGAAATGCATGAAGGAAAAGAAGAGTATTCCTTTTATAAATGTGGTTTGTCATGATGATGGATTAATGTGAGACTTTGGATGAAGGAAGGATATTTTGTGCCCAAAGTGTGTGGGTATCCTCCAAAGTCCCACATCGGGTAGTTTGAAGAAGGGAAGTGGTAGACTACTATAAATAAGGGGTGATAGTTTGGGTCTACTCACCATAACAACACTAGTCTTTGGGTGTATTGGGGACTTGGGTAGTTGTGTGTCAAGAGAGGGTTTGCAATTTTTCCCTTATAAAAATTGCAAGTTAAGAAATGAAGAGCGGTTGAGTGTGTTAGTGGATGTACGGAAAAAGTGCCGAACCACGTTAATTTCTGAGTTTGTTTCTCTATCTTTGTTTTTCTTCTATGTGTGCTTCTGTAGGTGAAGATTTCTTTTCCCCTCTAGTACCCAACAAATGATAATGTTTCGTTAGGAATGAGAGTGTTTCAACGTCATGTCCACTATGATAACATCATTAAGGTCAATTCTCACGTCCGAAATGTTAAGTATCAGACAAAAACATAAGCACACACAACTAAAATGAAAAGATGAGAAAAACATCGGCAATAGGCAAAAGAGTAATTTCACTAATGAAATAAATTACAACCCTTCTCTCTCTACCTCCAAGGAGGAAACAATAACACCCTCTCTTGAAAATAAAGGAAAAACAACTCTAAGAGAACCTAAAAAGAGAAACCATTTTTCTCTCTTAATTTATCTCTCAAGTACTAAAGTAGCAAGAGAAAGAAAATGAAGTGATTTTGGTGTGTTTTACAAGGTAAACACTATGCTCCTTTTATAGTAAGAAAAGTAAGCACAAAATTAAGATTTCCCTGCTGTGGGACTTTTCTTCTCACAATATCTCATTTGAAGATTTTGATTAAATTAATCAAATCTTCACACCATACTTGTTTTATTCTTGTCATCCATATTACTTATTTTTCCGTTAGGCCATAGTAGGATTGACTCCATACAAACTTGTCAACACTAATTGCCTTTGTCATAACATCTGCTAGGTTCTTGTCTATGTGAATCTTTTGCATACCCACACTTCCTTCTTTTACTACTTTCCGAACAAAATGATATTTTATGCATATGTGCTTTGTCCTGGAATGAAAGGTTGGATTCCTTGCAATGTGCAAGACACTCTCACTGTCACAATACACAACAATTTGTTGTTGCTTGTGTCTGAGTTCCTCCATTATCTTCCTAATCCAAATAGCTTCCTTACATGCCTAGGTGTCTACCATGTACTCAGCTTCTGTGGTAGCTAGAGCTACAACATCCTGTAACTTGGATAACCAACTTACTGCCCCTCCTACAACTGTAAACACATAACCAGTAGTTCTGATCCTCCATAACATAATACAATACCTGAGGTTCTTTTGATGTATCTAAGGATTCTCTTTATAACACTCCAATGCTCTCCACTAGGATTTTCCATGAATTTACTAACTACTCCCACTGCTTGTACAATGTCTGGTCTTGTACAAATCATGGCATACATAAGACTTCCCACTGCTGATGCATACAATACTCGAGACATTTCTATCCTTTTCACTTCATTGCAGGTACTCATACTTGAGGATAACTTACAATTGATAGGAAGTGGGCTGAAAATTAGCTTGCTATCTTGCATGTTGAAGCGTCACAAGATTTTTAGTAAGTAATTCTTCTGAGAAAGCCAAACTTTCCTATCTTTTCTGTCTCTGTGAATTTGCATCCCTAAAATTTTGTTTGTTGGTTCCAAGTCCTTCATGTCAAACTCCCTAGCCAATTGTGCCTTTAACTGTTGGATTCGATCTATGTTAGGGCCTACTACCA